GTGAAGGAGCTCCAACAAATGTTAAACCTCTGGGGACGTGTGTTTGCTTCTTGCCTATTAATCTTCTTACTTGGAAGTCTAATTCATACTTAAATGTGATGAAACTTTGCAGCCAAGAGCTTCAAGGAGCCAGAATCCTAACTCCTGAGCACAGGAATCTTGTCATCACGTAGTAGAACATGTTTCTCCCACGTTCAGGTGGCGGTGTTTTTAATCACAGCAGTGTGCTTTGTTCTTGATGTCTGCATATTGAATTCAGGTGCTGACTCAGGTCTGGCATGACTTGCCAGAGAACAGCTATCAGAATGAAGATGTCTCTACAGAAACGTTGACATGTTCAATTCAAGATGATGCAATAATTGCTCCCCTCTCATGCTAAAGAATTCCAAAGTAATATGACTATGTAACTCTGTGTTGAAAATTCTCCTACCTTTTTAAAGGAACATCTCCTTAATTCCAGGAGGGAAAAACAAGATTCAATTTATGGTTTATTTTAAATCTTCTTATTTTGAATATCTGATTTGTATAACACAGCTTTATTCACAAGAGTCTGAATTCTATTTATTTAAGAGAACGAAGTGCTTATGGTTATGGGTATGTCTGTCTTTAGGAATACAAGCTCTGCTATATCAGGTATTCAGCTTCTTGCAGGACTCTTTTTTTCTAGGACTCATGCATTTTTCATTGTCTAGTCGTCGTTCTGAATTTAAAGTGGACAGGATGCCCTTCTAAACGCATAAACAAAGAAGATGAAAATGTGTATCATGGTCTGCTCTCCGTTTCTGCTACTAAAATTATAGGACCTGTGCAGCCTATGTTAGAAAGCATCTGGCGTGCTATTCTACGTACTCCACGAATAACCAGCCGCCCACCATGCAAAGTTTCACCCACACCATATTTAGCATCCTTTTCGCAAGATAGCACCTTACCAGGCTTGTTCAGAAATGCATCGGAAAATCGCTTATTAATCTCAGTGTCTAACTGGCAGATGGAAGACAGTGAAGATGGGGTTGTTTTTGTCATTTAGAGCCAGTGGTTTTTCAAGATAGAATAAGCAGCCATCTTTCAAATCTTCTGAGACTTCACTCTTTTTTTCATTTTCATTTGTTTGCTTGTAAATTCATTCATTCATTCATTCATTCTATATTAAATATCTATTTCTTTTCCACTTAACAAAGTTCAAGGTACCAGGAACATGCAAATGAATAGAATACATTTTTCTTTTTCTTTTCAGGAGCTCACGAGCTGCCCAGAATGATGAGCACACATAGAGGTGGGAAGGTACAGATGAGGAAACTTAACTCAGCCTTGGGGAGCAGGGAGGGGCAAGAGAGGCTTTCAGGAGAGAATGCCTCCCCCTCCCCTTTTATATATATATTTTTTATTGATTTTTTTTTTACAGAGAGGAAGGGAGAGAGAGAGAGAGAGAGAGAGAGAGAGAGAGAGAGAGAGAGAGAGAGAGGGCACGAGCTAGAAACATCGATGAGAGAGAAACATCGACCAGCTGCCTCTTGCACACCCCCTACCGGGGATGTGCCCGCAACCAAGGTACATGCCCTTGACCGGAATCGAACCTGGGACCTTTCAATCCGCAGACCGATGCTCTACCACTGAGCCAAACCGGTTTCGGCAGAGAATGGCCCTTTTAAGAGGATGAGGAGTTAGGTTAAAGGGACCACACATCTCTTTTAGTGGTTACCTAAAGAAAGAAAATTCAGAGAAATAAGACAACAGTAAGTGAACTGAAAAGATCCTAAAACAGACAAGTGGTAAGGAGCACATTCTGTGAAGCAGGTCACCGAAAGGACTTGTCCTGTGTGAAAAGAGAACAGAAGGGAGTCTGAGGAAAGGAAGATGATAGAGGCAGTGGGGAGGTGGGTTCACAGGGTGTCAACATCTAGGTTTACTTATAGTTTATTCAGTTACCCATTTATTTTGCTTTGGTGACTAGGAACTTAGGTCAGATACGCAGATTGCAACAACAGCTGCAGTCTCTAGGTCCCTACAGTTAGAAAAGGACTCATAAACTAATCTGATCAAAGCTCCCTTCCATTCCTTTCTGTTTTATAAGGCATGTTTATTAGCATGACGGGTAAAATCATAGTTTGCACCTTCTATCAAATCATAGCAGCAGCTGAATGACATGGCCACTAATTAAAAGCAGAAATTGAATGCAGCAGATCTGCTGTTTTGTTTTGGCTGAAGAAACAAGAATAGGCTGTGTTGACCTTTTGCTGAGAGGCACACATTACAGATATCTTGGTAGAGGAGTTTTCATCAGTCAGTCTGGCTGTCTTTTTCTTTTGTCTTCATTTCACCCCGAATATTTTTGGAAACCAGCCACTTAGACTTTGCGAGGGCAAAGTGTATGTGTTGGCTGCAGAATGACACCGGGATTGCTCTGGTACTCTTCATTCAGCCAAAACTGGTCTCTCAAAGGCTGGAGATGACTACAAATCATCTCCTCTCAGTCCTCATTCTCCCTACCCTCTAATATAATATTACAACTGTTCCCGCCATGCAAGTATCTGTTCCCTTAGTTTCCTTGACACCAAGAGCTATTCTGCTCTTCCCCTTAGCTTTCTAACCTCTTCTCACTCCAATGATGTGCCTTTCTCCCTTGGCCGCAATCTAGAGATTCCCCAGAGATTTTTCTCTTGTCTTTCTTCTCTCTGCTGCTATCCCTTCCTTGGTGACATCCATTTCCAGGACCTTAGACATCTCTTATGTGTATTACTTCCCATATCAACCTCCTGGTTGACCTTCTCTTTCACCTTTAATCCCATAATTCTGACACTGTTGGACCATGTGGAAGATGACCTGGCAGCTCAAATTCATTATACCAAAAACACTTATTATCTCCCACTAAAACCAACTCCTTATTATGATCTTTAAATTTTTTAAATTTTCAATTAAAATTGACATTTAATCATATTATACTAGAGGCCCATTGCACGAATTTGTGCATGGCTGAGGTCCCTTGGCCTGGCTGGTAATCAGGGCCAATTGTGGCCTTCTCACTCAGTCCTGATCGAGGCTGATCAGGGCTGATCAGGGTAGGGACCTCAGGAGATTGGCCGGCCACAGGAGGTTGGTTGTGTGAGTGCACTGATTACCAGGGGGTAGCTCCTGCATTGAGCATCTACCCCCTGGTGATCAGTGAGCATCATAGTGACTGGGCAACTGGTTCTTTGGTCTACCAGTCATAATGATCACTTAGGCATATATATATATATATATATATATATATATATATATATATATATATATGTTATAGTGCTTAGTCATGGGGAGGTGTAAATATTTCTCTTTTCTGCATCCAGCGCGGCTAGAGAGTGGTCTGGTTCTTGAGTAGGAGTGGGGGGGTGGGGGGTGGGGGGGGCTGGGGATTGAGAAAACGAAAGAAAAAGACAGACACAGAGATAAAAGGAAAAAGCTGGGGCTGGGTGGGACCACTGTCCTCTGACATAGATAGGGATAGGAATAGTAACCCTGAGCCAATACAGTGTATTTATTTTATACAGAAACAAAACAAAACAAAACAAAACAAAACAAAAAACAAAACAGGAAATTTTACTAAAGGTCAAGACAAAGGAGATTATGTGCATTCTTGGGTGGGCCCCAGTCGTATTCATTCCTGGTGCTTGACTGGATTTAAATAACAAAACCCACCCCCTGGCACCTGGGCTGAAGGTCAAGCTGACCACAAGCCTGCCTTTTGGCAAAGTGTGTTTCCAGGACATGGCTTTGCCGATGCCACTGGAGTCAGCTGACAATAATTAAAGAAATGCCCATGAGCCTTCCCAGGCGCTCTCTACAGGGAGGGGCTATGTAACACTGCAAATCCTCTACCTAATGCTTTTTTGTTGAGAAATCCTACTCCTTGCTTATTTTACAGAGCTGTTTCTGTAAATAAACCAGGAAAGTCAGATGAGAATGAGGAGGGCGGGAGCTTGTTTTGTATTTCCAGGCTCTTCCTGTGTCAGGGCACAAAAGCTCATGTGAACATCAAGCCTTTGCAAAGTAGACCCCTTGACTTGCTCATGATCTCGCTAGAGTGGCCTCCAGGGACACTGCCTAGGAAGAAGTCCCAGAAAATATCTACAGATCTTGAAATATTTCACTACAAGTGACCACTTGGGTCATTAAATTTCCTTCATGAATAACAGTTGTAATGTATAAGCAATTATAACCTAAGCAGAGGAGAGTGGCTAGAAGTGCTTACTAATGCTTTCTAGAGCCAACTGAGACCCCCAATCTGGATTTTCAGGGGTTTGTACAGCCTCTTCATTTCCATGTTCCCGGATCCAATATTTCTATCTGTAAAGAAAAGTCTCTGTTAATGGTATAAGAGCCTGATGGTAAGTTTGGAATATGACCTTTCCTGGTTGGTGTTCAGATTCTCACTCAGGTTTCTGAACACTTTGTTAATTCTATGGTGGACATCGGAATGGTGCTTTTTTTTTTTTTTATAATATATTTTACTGATTTTTTACAGAGAGGAAGGGAGAGAGATAGAGAGCTAAAAACATCGATGAGAGAGAAACATCGACTAGCTGCCTCTTGCACACCCCCTACTGGGGATGTGTCAGCAACCAATGTGCATGCCCCTGACTGGAATCGAACCTGGGACCTTTCGCTCTATCACTGAGCCAAACCGGTTTCGACGAATGGTGCTAACTTTCCCCACAGGCTCTGGAGGGCAGTGGCTAGAAGCCATAGTCATTTGAAGAGAGTTAGTCTTAGTTCCCAGGTTTACCATTCGCCACTTCCTAGGCACGCGACTGGGAGCAAATTCCTTAAGCCCTCTCAGCATTAGATCTTCCTCCTATAAAACCTCAGTAACAATTGCACCTTCCTCGTAGCATTGCTGTAATGAATTAAAAGAAATACTATTTATTGCACTTAGCCCAATGAGTAGCACAAATGCTCCATAAACGTTAAATGTTGTTGAAGTGGACTTCCTGCTGATCTTTGCTGTGTTCCTTTTTCTTTTTCAGGGAGATGTTAATCTCCGTGGCTCTAGGCCAGGTGTTATCCCTCCTCATTTGCGGAATTGGCTTGACCAGCAAGTACTTGTCCGAAGATTTCCATGCCAACACACCAGTCTTCCAGAGTTTCCTCAATTACATTCTGCTCTTCTTGGTCTATACCACCACACTGGCTGTCAGACAAGGTAAGCCTGCAAATGCACCAGCAAGGTAGCCAAGTTTCTCTTTTACAAACATCTGGAAAAACGATGCGCCGAGACCAGATAATTGTTGCCCTTACAGCGTCATGTGATAATTCAAAACCCCATATCTCACTTTTCTATTTTACAGCCATACAGTAAATAAAGTGAATAAATAAATCACAAAGAAGTATAAATGACATGAATTCAGTGTGAGGTGAGAAATGCATGTACAGGCAGAAATGTACAGTTGCTTACTATGTGAATTTCTGGTAAAATTCCTCCTACCCTTTTGTGAATCTAAACATAGTGCTTCTGTGGAACCCGGAACAGGCCTGGTACAGCTGTCCTAAATAATGCTAGCCGTGAGAAATTCAAGGGAATTGCAGACAAATGTATGTTCTTTGGGAAAGTGTCGTGGGAAAGGTAAAAGTAGTAAACACAAAACAACTCTAATAATAGTAAAGTGGGGAAGAAAGAAATGAAAACTACCACAAATGGCCAAGTAAGATGTTCTGTCTAAACTTAAAATAGCTAAAGCAATAAAGCAAGGCCTCCAAGAGCCAAAGCAGGGAAAGCATGTTAAGGGGCAATTGCAGTTTAAATCCTTAGGCTACATCTCTGGAGGGCATACTGCACAGCTTTATGATTAAACCACTGGATTTAGATATATATTTTTCTCTACGACCCAGAAATAGCCAAGAATTTTTCTCCAATAGTAACTATTGGCTATGAAATGTGCATTGAAAAATAATCATTAACAACTTTGAAGGCAATTATATACCTTAATAATAAGTAAGGATATATGAATAGTTGTATGTATACTTTAAAAATATATATTTTTATTGATTTCAGAGAGAAAAGGAGAGGGAGATAAAGATAGAAACATCAGTGATGAGAGAGAATCATTGATTGGCTGCCTCCTACAACCTCCTACAACCTGCCTCCGCCCCCAACTGGCGATGGAGCCTAGAACCTGGGCATGTGCCCTGACTGGGAATTGAACCATGACCTCCTGGTTCATAGGTCAACACTCAACCACTGAGCCATGCTGGTTGAGCTAATAGTCATACTTTTAAAAAAAAGTAAATTAGATTTATTGTTTAAAGGGTTACCGATGTCCCCTTTATCCCCCATTGACTCCCTCTACCCCATATCCCACCTCACCCAGTCTTTTATCACACTATTGTCTGTGACCATGGGTTATGCATATAAGTTCTTTGGTTAGTCTCTTCCCACCCTCACCCCGCCTTCCCTCTGAGATTAGTCAGTCTGTTCTATGCTTCTGTGTCTCTAAAGAAATGAATATAATAGTCGTACTTTTAAAAACTTTTATAAGAACTGTATATTAGTATTTCATTTTTATATTTCCTTATTTAGATTACCATCCAGAATAATATTGCTTAATTATAATGATTTGGCCACTACTAGATTTTATCTTAGAGGGAGAATAGCAATGAACAAGTTGGGACTGAATTCTAGTTTGACTTTGGATTTCTTTAAAGTATTGAAGAAGCTAATTTCATTGACTTCTCAAAAATATGTGTTATTGGTTAGCTTGTTTTAGTTAGCTCAGTACAAGGAGTATGGATAAGAATAATAAAATTAAATTTAACACGATTTTGCAATACTTTAATTTTACCAAAAAAAATTCACATGACAGTGGTAAATTTATCTTCTCTGTGGCCTTGAGAACCAAACATTCCAGATGAGATGGCGAATTGTAACTAGTCTTTGAGTTCTTGTTCATCTTACTTTCCAGGGGTTCAGGAATTTAATAAAAACCTGCATCAGGACAAAAGTAAAATCAAGCCATTCTATGTAAGTCACAAAAAGACACAGTAAAGCTTAAAAAACTTAATGTAGCAAAATAATAATAATAATACCTTCTATTGAACCTTGTAATATACCAGGCATTATATATGTGAATTCCTTCTTTTATTCTGTAATACCTGTTATTACCCAAAAATTTATAAATGAGAAAACCAAAGCTGCTCCAGGCTATAGGACTAGGAAGTAGAGGCCCACCCTGGGGCGAAGGCTGTGTGCCTTCATGACCCACCCTGCCCACTACTGTGGGAGGCAAGAGGAGGAAGGAGAGATACTTTCCAGCAAAAGGAGGGTGTTTGCCTTGAATTTCAAAACTCTAATTAAGAAACAGCCCTTGGTGCAAGGTCCAGTGAGGCACAGCAACGAAATCAGGAGGATGTGGTCGAAGACTTGGGTGAGGTGGGCAGGGTATGCAGGGAGAGGCACAGGTGGAAGGAGGCTGAGGGCTGGGAGCAGCAAGAAACTGGGGGGTGCAGGTGTGGGGTGGGGTGTGCTCTTTGGAAAGAAGACTGAAGAGGGCCTGAGAAAATTCTGTTCTACCCCAGTCAGCGATGAAGAAAATCAACTTCCAAAATGCTCTGTCTGGACATGTTTTCCTTAGTCTCATGTTATCACTAAATTTGCTGACATGTCTTTATTTGGGTGTTTGCTCATAATGTTTGTTTCTTTTAATCTTCATCTTTAGAGATCTTAATAGGCTGGCAGTAAGCTAACATCTGGAAATCAGCATCGTAATTGCATTAATTTTGTGGGGGCTGCTTCAGCACTATGTTCTAGAAGCATACTAATCTCTTGCTTCTTTCACCTCAGGATTTGGGAGGGAATGAGCAGCAGAGCAAAGGGAAGGGTGGAAGGTCTGGTGTGGACGGGAGGTGCTCTCACAGCCAGTTTCCCCTCCTCACCCATTGCTCCTTGACCCCTCTCCACAGAGCTTTTTAGATTAGGACACATGAGGGCAAGAACTCTGGAATATATGTATAAAAAATCTCATTTTCTAATTTTTATCATACAATCTTTAAACAGTTATGATCGTTGTCTGTGAACACTTCAAATGTGTTAAGGGTGATGTGATTACAAAAGCCTTGTGGGAATTTGTCCCCAAACTATTCTTTTTATCAAATTTGCATTGGACCAATGATCAAAGACTCTGAAGCAACACATTCCAGTAAAAATTCTGGTGTAACTCCAGTTCAAACTGGAGTTTTGAATTTGTTCCTAATTATTTATTAGTCCCTGCAAAATTTGAATACCATCCTCCTTAATATATATATATATATATATATATATATATATATATCCTTAAATAAAATTTAAATCTGTTTTTCTCTTTAATTAGAGCTAAGTTTTTATTCCAGATGGTTCTAAAATTCAAAAAAATCTCATGTTCATAACAAGCAACTTCAGTAATAACTGTTGTAGGAAAAAAAAATACTTCAAAAAAGTAGTTCTATTAACATTGTCTCCACTTTGAGAATTTAGGTAGAATTTAGATAGCTGTTACTTCTTTGTATGCACAAAGTAGGTCTTCAGGAACTGTAAAGAAAAGTCAGTACTCCTCCTGTGTCTTTCCTTTACTCTCACGCTACTACTACTACTACTACTACTACTGCTGCACTTATAACACTTCTGATACCAGATGTGGGGAGGTTTTTCCCACATCAAGCAATTCTGCAGCACCAGCTGGGTGTCCCTCAATTTAGCATAATTCTGACACTCTCCACCTGGAGAGAGTGAAGGGCTCAGTTCCACAAGACTGCCCTCTCACTCCAAATGCCAATTGCTTCTGACCAATGGGCTCTGTATAAATTGCAGCTTCCCAGGACCTTCTTCTTGGGCATGGTTCATTTCCTAGAGTCTCTCCACCCAGAAAATAAACTGTGGGCCAGTTTATCAGGAAAGGGTGTGATAAGAGTATAGATGAACACACAGATGGAGGAGATGAGTAGGGCAAGGTATGTGGGACAGGGTGTGGCGCTTCCATGCCCTGTCTGGATACACACCCTCCTAGGACCTCCACATGCTCACCAAAGTTCTCTGAACCCTGTCCTTTCAGGATTTTATGGAGGCTTCATGACATAGGCGTGATCGGTCATTAGCTTTATTGCCAGCCTCTCACCTCTCTGGGGAAGCGGGGAGTAGGATTAATAATTCCAAGCTTCTAATCTTGGCTTGCAGTTTCTGGTGACCAGTGCCCCCTCCAGGAGACCACTAATAGTGATATCTCATGAGAACAGAAGGCATTCCTAGCACTCTGGAAATTCCAAGGTATTTAAGGAACCTTGTGTCAGGTGCTCCTTGTGTTCTCATCACATAGGAAATGACAAGAGTGTTGGGAATTCGGTATCAGAAACTGGGGGCAGAAAATATATATTCCAATATCCCACAGGAATATAACTGAGAAAGTCTAGTGAGAGTTTAAAAAATTTACGTATTTGCCAAGGAAATTCTCAAGAGGACTCTTTTTTGCATGCCTACTTTTTTCTTAAAATGTCATGTAATTCCTCTAGCTGAAATTGGGAAGCAGAGAAACACAAATGCAAAGACTATAAACAAGAGGAAAGAAGAACAGGCTGGGTCTGACTGAAACCCAACTTGTTCTTCCATTTGTGTTGTAGGAGCAAGAGATGTGACAGGCTTTTAAAAAAACAAAGGTGAAAATTAGATATATTTCTTATCAAGAAAAGAATATGTCATCAAACTGTTTGCCCAAAAGCTTCCTTTTATCAACTGTTACAAGAATCCTGCTGATTCTTGGAACTACTTTCAGAGCTTCTTGAATAATAAATACCCATGGTTCCTCTTTTGGCAATTTGTAACTTCTGAGTGTATATGAACCACAAAGATTTAGTCAGTAATTTCCTCCTCCTTTTCTTCTTCTGCCAGCTTTTCTCAGTTCTTGTTTCTATAAATCCTTTTTATTTTCCCATTTACAATTTACTCAGTGATGGGGGAGGGAAGGATTCTGGGGGGAAAACAGGATGCCAAGGGAAAAACAACAACAAAAAAAACTTTGTAATTTCTTGTTTGTTTGTTTTTTTTTCTTTCTTTTTTTTCTTTTTTCCCCTCTCGTCATGGTAGTAAAAAAAAGAAGGTGTGTGTGTGTGTGTGTGTGTGTGTGTGTGTGTGAATGTGTCAGTAACGTAAACATGATGGAATGAGAAGTATCTGTTTCTTTT